GGCCCAGTAACCTACATATTTAATTAATAAAGTAAAAAAAAAAAAAAAAAAAAGTAGCAGCCCTGGTGAGGCAACGCTAAGCACCCAACAACAAACTTATAAAGATCTTGCTTTAAAGTTAAGGTCATTTCTTCTGGTTTTCTCACTTGTTTAATGGATTGTGGCTACTCCTCTGTGAGACATGCTGTTGCTGTGTGCCGTCAAGTCAATTGCCAACGTCTAGTGATCCCATGTGACAGAGAAGAGCTGCCCCAGAGGGTCTTCTAGGCTGTGATAGTTAGGGAAGGTCCCAGGTTTTTCTCCCGCAGAGCCACTGGGTGGGCTCAAACGTTTGGGTTAGCAGCCGAGCACTTCACCGTTGTGCTACCAGGGCTCCTTTCCTATGGGACAAAGATAATGGTAAAAAAAAAGACAGAAGGACTGCAATGTGTCTGCTCACAAAACCAAGACAGAGTGCAACGTAAACTGCTGCTTTAAAAGCCTGTGTATAGATTTGCATTTTTATTACTACATGAAAACTGAACCAAAACAAAAACAGCAGACATCGACTGCTTTTTTCAACCGACACCTGCTAGGAAAGCAGGCCCCCGTAAAACATTATACAACTATTCTTCTTTACCACCCTTCTGGGCTAAAAACCTTCAAACAGGTTAAGTTAAACTCCCCTCCCTCAGCAGGCTTCCCCCGCCCAAGTCCCAGGTGTAAACCTTACTATACTGGAAATACACCTCCCACAATGGCCGCGAGCTCTTCCTTCCCTCTGTGTGTGCCTCTACCTCTGCACTGGCCTGCGACAGGAGAAGCGTGACGCAAGCCGACCTGAAAAGCACTCACACACTGAGGCCTCTTGTCTTGCTGCCCTTGGGAAATGTGCGACCAGCGCCATGTGAAGAAGGCCCAGTGGATCTGAGGGTGATGGGTGCAGAGGTGCCCCTTCATCTCCACTGAGCCAGATGACCGGCACCAACTGCAGGCATGTGAGGCCATCCTAAACTATCCAGTTCCTAGCAGCCCGTGCTATTGGTGCCAGACGCTGTGGAGTCGGTTCCGACTCAGAGTCCCCGCAGAAACAGAATGAAACGCCACCCCGTCCTGCACCATCCTCACCCCCACTGTGCTTGAGTCATTGTGGCAGGCGCTGTACCAACCCGTCTCATTGAGGGTCTTCCTCTTTTTCATGGACCCTCTACTTTACCAAGCATGATGTCCTTCTCCAGGGACTGGTCCCTCCTGATGACATGTCCAAAGTGAGACAAAGTCTCACCATCCTTGCTTCTAAGGAGCATTCTGGCTGTACTTCCTCCAAGAAGCTGACACCAAAACCTCACATTCAATCCATAGACTTGCAAGCAACAATAAAACAGTTGTTTCAGGCACTGTGCTAGTTTATGATGCAGTTACGAGCTAATGCATGTTGTTTCGATGTTTACACTTTAAACATGCTTATTTTAAAGTCTTTGATGGGACCATTCTTTCTAGTGGCAAGGCTGGCTAGCCTTCATGGTGGTGGGTTTGGTTACGTGCTTTGTCATCTTTGACTGAGAGCTCATCTTCAGTGGGAGTATTTCCTGTGGGGTCCCACATACCCCAAGCTATAGAGCAGTTTCCGATACAGCTCTGCCAAGTACCACCAGTTTTACTAATTCATGGATCTTGACTTGGGTTCCCAGCAGTGCAAGGACAGTGTGAATTCAAACCCCACAACCACAAGTGGTGTAGAACAGAGCTCCAGTTTCTCTGTTTTCATGCTCCTGCTGAAAGCAAGTTTCCATGCTTTCCCTCAGCCTAATGGTAGAGAATGTTCTAGTTCCTGTTTCTGTGAAGGTGTAGTCCTTCAAGACTACTGCCTCTAGGTTAAAGTGACTTTACCTCTACCCATGCATTAGGCCCAAGACTTCAGGTCTATAAGGACCTATAGGATCTATAAGGAGCCCTGGTGGTGCCAAGGGTTAAGTGTTCCACTACTAACCAAAAGGTTGGCAGTTTGAACCCACCAGCTGCCCCATGGAAGAAAGATGTGACAGTCAGCTTCTGTAAAGATGACAGCCTTGGAAACCCTACCGGCACTTCTACTTTATCCTACAGGCTCGCTATGAGCCGGAATCAACGACGGCAGTGGGTTTATCAGGTCTGTATCAGGTCTCCCTTAGTGGTACAACTTGCTTCTGAGTTTCTTCCTCCCTTCCTTCCCATAATTCCGAGTTCTTTTGCTCCATTTTAACTAGAATTCTCATCTGTGTGAAGGGATCAGAGGGCGCTACCCAGAAATGTAAAAGTAATTTTCTAAATATGACCACATGATTGTCTTGCTTCCAATATGTCAACAATGCCCCATTGTCTTAAGTGTTTCTGAAAATGTGGTCTCTGGATAATTAGTGGTCCCAAGCTGTCTATCAAGAAGGTTATAGGTTATCTCAATTCAGATGAAAAAGTAACGAAACATTTATGTTCATATACTTTTCTCCCCCCGCCCCAACATTTTTAAAGGTGTGGTTTAGATATAGTATAAACCAAACTCAACCCACTGGCATCAAGTCAATTTCCAACTCATAATGACTCCCACTGGGTTTCCAAGGCAGTAAATCTTTACAAAAGTAGACTGCCCCATCGTCTTTCCATGGAGCAGCTGGTGGGTTTGAACTGGCAACCCTGTGGTTAGTGTCAAATGCCTCAGGCACTACACCACCAGAGCTCCTTATACACAGTATAGTTCCCCTTTAAGTGTACAGTTTCAGAGGTTTTGGTAAATAGTCAAATCAAAATATAGAATATATAGTTCTGTTAACCCCCCAAATAAGGGGTTCTGTAACCCCTTATAGTCAACCCTCGCCCACATCCAACTCTGGAAACCACTGATCCGTTTCTGCCGTCATAGTTTCATCTTAGCAAGAATGCCATACAGATGGGATCACACACCACACAGCAGATGAAGCTGACTGCTGTCACCCCCC